ACTGAGATATAGGTCTAGGAGTCAGTGATTATTTGTAAATGCTATTAAACTCACAATAGAAAGGTTCATGCAGCAGTTTTTTAGAGAGAGAAGAAAGGAGGTCTGAGGTCAAACTGTGAAGATTAACTTTTAAGGGATGTGTGGCAGAAGAGAAACTCATGAAAAAGATTAAGAAAAAAAACAGACAATTCTAATTGTGGGTCAGAAAGTGGAGGAAATGGAATTCCTATACATTGCTGATCAGAATATAAGATGTTACGGCCACATTAGAAACTATTTAGCAATCTCTTATAGCATATACTTATCCTATGAGTTAGATCCACTTCTTGGTATTCATTCAAGAGATATGAAAATATATGTTTACAAAATGAGATATACAAGAATGTTCATAGCAGCTTTATTCCTAATGGTCAATAATTAGAATGGATAAAGAAACGGATATGTATTCATACAATATACCACTTCAGCAATAAGTGGATGAATCACAAAAACATTATGTTGAGTAAAAGAAGCCAAGCATAAGAGACTGTATAGTGTATGATTTAATTTATATCAAGGTCCAGAAACAGGAAAAATTAATGTATGACATAAGGAAAGAAAAGTAGTTGCTTATCATGAGAAAGTGGGGACTAGACTGGCTAGAAAAAAACTGGAAGGAACTTCATGGGAGTGTTGGAGATGTTCTGTATCTTCATGGGGTGGTAGACACAAGGTGTACATTTATCAAGCCACAAGTTAAAATATATTCATATGAAAGTTTTATTATGCTATAATGATAGATTGGATATAGATGTAATGTTGGGGGTGAGGTCGTGCATGGATTCTATGTTTCTCTTTTACAATATGTTTAGATAGGAAGCATTCAGTGGGGAAGGATTTGTAGGGGAAGTTTTAAGGATTACCAAATATAAATATAGATGATTTTAGAGAAATTATTCTATATTGAACTTTTCTGGTTAAATCCGTTCAAAATCTAACAGCTTCTTTTGCTTTGCTTTTCTCTTACTGAGCTGGGAGGAGGAAATTGGGATGCCAGGGCTCAAACAAACAAAAACAGTAGTTCTTTGCATGCATTGTGCTGATGTTTCTATAAGCTTCACACCCTTGTTTTCCTAACTTTAACAAAAATGATAAAATTTAAAGCTTCTTTTTAAATTATTTTGAAAATGTGGAATATCTCATTGATAATAATTATAGTATTTAGGTATTCAAACATGGTTATTGCAGATGAATACCTAAACAAAACTTAACATCTTCCTGTAACGGGTTGGGTACTGACATTCAAAGATTAGACAATTCATTTTCAGTTTTGAATCACTCAATTCAATCAGTTAAACTATCCAGAGTAATAAAAGGTCCTCTCAATATTGCTTGGAATAAAGAAATAAATTCAGCATGTTTAGTTTAACTTTAATGTTTTCATTAAAATATTTATTCTTTAACTTCTTAATATTTATAACTGCATTATGTTATCTAGGTAGTACTTATCCACTTTACACTCATATATCTAATGTTGCATTTATATAATCCCTATATGTATTAGTCAGTGTTCTCCAGAGAAACAGAACCAATAAGATACATATGGATATATAGAAAGAGATTTATTATGAGGAATTTGCTCGCAAGATTATGGAGAGTAGGTCCCATGATCTGCCATATTCAAGCTGGAGGCCCAGGAAAGCCAGTGATGTAGTTAGTGCCAGTCCACACCTGAAGTAAGCACCAGTCCCAGTGTGAAGGCCCAAGGTCCAGGAGCTCTGATAACTGAGGGCGGAAGAAGATGGATGCCCCAGCTCAAATGGAGAGAGCAAATTCGCCCTTCTTCCACCTTTTTGTTGTATGTAGGCTCCCAATAGATTGGATGATAACCACCCACATTGGTGATGGTAATCTTCTTTACTCAGTCTATTGATTCAATTGCTAATACAAGTACCTTCCAGAAACACCCTCACAGACACAGCCAGAAATAATGTTTTACCAGCTATCTAGTCATCCCTTAGCTCAGTCAGGTTGACACATAAATTTAACTATCATACCAAATTTTTCAAAGTATTTATTATTATATTCCTTAATATTGCCAAACTCTTGAGTTGATTATAGCTTAATAATTAGTTTTACAGTTTTTCCTGAGTTCTCCACTGTCCTCTTTTGAATGGAATAGTCATGTTATGTCCATTTTTCTTCTTTAGTCTCTGGTCGCCCCCTTTATCTTCTTTCTTAAAGAGAAAAGTTGAGTACTTGCCATGTTCCAGAAGTATTCAAACAGCTTAGTATGCATTACCTCAGTAATTTTTTCAATGATTCCATGATCTGTTGGAATTTAAACTTTATGTTCTTACATGTCTAATACTACATTTATATAATCCCTATAGATATTAGTCAGTGTTCTTGTAGCTGCTGAGTATCTGAGTTTTATCAGACGTCTTGGTGTTTGGCTTCCTATGTCATGTCCAATATTAAGAGACTGGTAAATTACCCAGAATTACATTCATTCAACACATTAACTTAAGGAAAAAGGACACAAAATAAAATGAAGGTAGAATTGATGAGCATTGGGTTACTCTTCTATAAGGACGAGTAGCAGATTCCAGGGTCATAATGTTACTAAATGCTGAATAGGTAAGATTCTAGAAATTGTGTTCAACTTTAAAGCCTAGAATACTCACCAAATTTGTTTTAAACCATTTAATACATGTTCACTCTCTCGCTCACTCACTCACTTATTTTTTCTTTCATGTGCACAATCACACACATGAATACACACCTACATACAAATATGTAATGTATATCAAATGCCAATTTTGCTGTTTGTTCAGAATTTCAGCTGATGGTCCAAAGCCGTCCAAACCTAAAAGTACTCTCATATTCACATGTAAAAGGAGGAACATTAACATTTTCTTAGTACTTTGTATGAACCAAGTATCTTACATGTGTTATTTCATATGGTCCTTTCAGAAATCTAAAAAATATTGTTATCTCCAATTTACACTTGAGAAAACTGACAGATAGGTTAAGTGACTTGCTGAAGGTTCAAAGCCAGACTGAAAGCCAGATCTGATGAAATCCAGAATCTATACCTTACTCTATATGGGATGCTGCTTCCCAAAACAAGCATACATTTTTGTGGGGATCTATCTTTTTGGTTGAGGACCAACATCTCTGCATGTAGCTATGTCTTATTGGGAGCATGTACTTCACGATATTTGCCTCCAGATAATTCTGATTTTCATGGGGAGTGTGCCAGAAGGAAGCTAACTGAATGTGTCTGGGGGAAATAAGAATATGTCAAAGCTAAGTACATGTTTTAGTTAATCAGTCCCAATCACTACACTCATCATAAATCCAATGACGGTATATCGTTATCCTCAAGGATGATCCCATTTTCCAGACTCATCCTTTATTAATGCAATTATCCAATTGATTCAATAATATTAGCTTTATTCTCAGTGTTGTTACATTCCAGATTATATAGCGATAAAATATTTTAAAAGAAACATAATTTTGTAAAAATAGAACTCATTACATGATTGAATTATTTTTCTATGACATATTTAAAGAGTGTAATGCCACTTATAAGTAAAAACGAAGTCAGGAGAGGAGCCAAGATATTTTGTATATTTCAGAGAACTAATATAAACATTCAGGAAGCAAATAACCTAAAATGATATCCAAATCACTGCCACATCTTTTTATCTGAAAAATAAGATAGAAGAGCATTTCAATACCATTAGGCTGTTTTGTGTAAATTTTCTCGATATTTTATAAATTGAGATATAATACATATAATATAAATTTTATATTAGAGAAATAGACAGTTCTCTTGCACTGGCGTTTATTCTACATAGAGCGAAGGCTACACTGTACTGAACTACTTTAGTATTTATGTTAAATAACTTGAATTAACTTGCATTGTACGAAACAGTATATTAATGAGGAGACTTTTCTAAAGCAATTAGCATTGCTTTACTATTCACTCCTGATCGTGTTTTTATAAACTTTTCTTATCTGAAGAATGCTAAGAATTCATTTTCGTAAGAGGAGGGTCAGAAGAGACTCATAGGCAGCAGGGAGGAGATATCAAAAACCTTTGTCTTTTAGTTTTTGCCCGTCAGGTCAAACTGTTTGCTTTTTTAGTGTATGTTTTTACTTTTTGGTGCCATTCCCAGACTGCCCTTCTATCAAATTCCCACTGTAGCCTCACAATTGGCCAACCAAGCCAATTAAGACAAGTAATTAATCAAAGTTATGTTTGAATAAAAGTCATGGAATTTGAAATTTTCTCGTCATCGTGTAAATGCTTTATCATTTTGAAATTTTGTTTTATTCCAAACTTATAAAGATATTTTGGCATTGTTACAATGCTTAGCTTGCAAAGTGAAATGATAATTCGGGAGAACTGATTCTGTGTAGAGTGTCTATAGAATGTCTTTTATATAGACCTAGTATATTTAACATTTGTGTTGTAAGAGCTTACACCAAACTTATGGTATAGGCAGACATGATTCTCAAAATTTAATTTTAATTTTTAAAAATTATTGAAGTCTCATAGATAATTTTGTATGTAGATATAAGCATTAACTTGTTTTTCATAATCATATTGGTAAGAATTCTTCATTAGTTCCTCTGACAACTTTTTTCTTTTCTCTTTTCATTTAGGAATTGTCATGGCACCTAATGCATGACTTTTGGCAAATACCTACCAAAAACTCTGAATGACTGGGACAACATCTTATGGTTCGCTTAAGCTATCAGTCTTGGCCTAGTGAGAAAAGGACATTTATAAGAATCTCTTATTAAATTAAAATTAAGTTATATTCTGATTAATTAATTATCAAAAATAATTGTTTGCCACCTTATTCAGGACTAAAACCATGTACTGTACTATATCATTAGTTGTCTTATTTCTATGATTAAGTCCTATGAATTAAGCACTAATTTTACTTCTATATTTTTCATTAGACAACAATTTCTTACATAAAATGAATTTTTGATTACTATACCTTCTTTTCTGGGAGCTCTGGGGTAATAGTTGGGTCTATAGCAGTAGTGAAAAAATTGGTTGTGCTGGGTTTTGGTGAAGTTGAAGGCATGGAAACTCCTGCACTGTCATGCCTAAAGTTTATTACTTCCTTTTGCAAATATGGTATCACTCCTCCTGCTGGCTATAGAGAATGAGAATGAAAACGAAGTGATTATAGGTTCAAGTAGAAGGCCAAAATTGGCAAGAAAATAAAGCAACAGGATTGAGATGCAAAGCAAGCATTATATTCAAGAGGTACGTACCTTTATTAGAATTTTAGATCATAAGCTATTTTTTAGAAAGACTATGAATATATACCAGTAAACATGATTGTTTCTTAGTACTTGTTTTTAAAGAACGGTGCATAGAAGAGTACTTGGTATAGAGCACTTAAAATATTTGATGAATTGAGTGAACAGAATCTTGAGTGGCAAAAGATTATGAGAGGAAGGAGCAATAATTGTTGAAGGAATCGTAATAAAGTTAACATTAAAATAAACTTTAGTGCAAGAGCCTGTAAGTTGCCAGTTGTTGATTTCCACTAGCTAGCACAGTGTTGTAAGTAACCTTACCATCACAGCGGTTTCAGGAGCTGTGCCTAAGAGAGGATAAAAAGCAAGTTGCTGCTGTCCTCCTGGTGTAAGCTAAAAACATAGAAAGTTTAAAAAAGTCTAAATTAGTAACATATAAAAATATGCTCTGTTGCCACCCAGAGCAGTTAAACACTCCCCAATTTTTTTTTATTGGTTATGAATATTCATGAGATACAAAGTTGATCGTCACCCCTCGTGCCCAAGATGTGAAGGCCAGATCCCAACTTCTTAAATTATTTTCTTAAAAACAGAAATAACGGTTTAGATTTGAGAAAGGAAAAAGCAATTCCTGATATCAGAGAACTGACTTGACACTGAGCTCTGCTTCAGTTCTGGAAACTGCTTCCTAATATCCCCTGGAGGGCCCTGGTGTTCTCTTGTTGATAAACAAATCTTTAGAACATCAACATCAGACAAGGTTGTCTCTGAGCTTGATGAAATTAAAACAAACAAGACAATTTTATAATCCTGTCTGAAGCCAGGTCACTGTGCAAGTGACAAAAATACCAAGCATCCTCACATTATGGATAATACCAGTAACTGTGCTTCTTTACCAGTTACAGCCTTTGCCTTGCCCTGTTATCCTTGCCTTCTAGGTAAAAATCCATAAGATACTCAATCATAGAACTATCCCCATTTCTGGGGCCGGCCAGGTGGCGCACTGGATAAGGGCGGCGCTCCCGCCCGAGGGTTCGGATCCCACATACAGACCGGTACCCGCTCACTGGCTGAGCAAGGCGCGGGAGCAACACCGAGGGTTGCGTTCCCGTTGCTGGTCCCCGGTCCGGTACGGGGGCAACACTGAGGGTTGCGATCCGTTGCCGGACACGGAAAAAGACAAAAGACAAAAAAAAAAAAAAAAGAACTATCCCCATTTCTTAAGAAAAACCCCTCTAGAGTGAACCAAAACATTCTTGAACTCTCCCTAAATCACCTAACACAAGCCCCAGTCCTGTGAGACGTTATTTTAATACCTTCCTATTAAAACACCCCATGTTTCCCACGTGTGTGTTCTTCTCTTTGTAGTGAGTTGATAAATCCAACTTTATTCATTTAGAGGTGTGCTATTGGTGCTCATTGGCTGGAAGGGCATTTATAGATTTAATAGACAATAAAGCAAGTGGTTTCAAGGAATTTTTTTTTTTTTTAATGAAAATTGTGCATTTAGCAACAGGCTGTGCTTGTTGTGAAATGCATCAATACTGAATATAGAAGGGTATCTGTCAGATTTTTAAAAAATATATTAGACTTACTCTGATGATTTTTGTCATGTTTGTGATAAATGATTACTTAAAATTTTACTTGTATATCTTATTATGTTAATTAAATGCTTTTTAAAAAATTCATATATTCAGGTGGTAAAAGTAAAAACTAATTATTGTAAAATTACCAAGAATCCTTTTAATACATAATTTCTAGGATAAAACTCTCATTTTAAAGTAACATGACTTAACTAGACTTATTATACCTTTTACTTAAAGAATAATTTTTAGTAGGCTTGAGAATAGCAATTAAACTATTAAAAAAGACATTTCCACTCTAACTAAAAGAACCAACTGAAATTACATTAGAATTCTAAAAATTTATTGTAAGTTCACAAAGTTCAGTGTAACAGTATCAAATTGTTTCTCAAGGTCTGGTGATCACAGGTATCTTACATCAAGGTAGCTGTTATTTTTTGTTATTTTTTACTAGTAATCATATATATGTATGTATTTGTATATGCATATAAATGGATGCTGGTAGATTTTAAAAGTGAGAAGACTTCTTTTTCCAAGGTGATCCAGCTTTTGGCCTCTGATTTTATTGGAATCCACTCTTTGACTTCATTCTTTAAAATCCAGCCTTGGAGCATTAACAAATTGGTCTACACAAGTGATACACAGGAGAGAGCCCTGTATCCTCTTATGCCTACCAGTTCAAGCTGTTGAGTATTTGCACTAAGTTTACTCAGATGCTCTTTTCTCTGGGAATTTCCCTTGAAATTTTCTCTATTCTCAGGTGGAACTAGTCAAATTAAAATCAAACATTCGCAGTACCTGCTCCTCAAATTGCTGCTGCCCTGTTTGTTGAGGTGACCATGTGACTGTTTGTTGAAGTTGTTCCAAGGGTAGGACCATGTAAACTGGGTAGTATTGAGGCATCTATTTGAAACAGAAAAGTATACAAGAGATTCCATTATATCAGCATAGGCCTTACTTTTTATCTTCTGATGTCAATATTACATTAAAGCTGTTTTATATCTGGCAGTTTTACATTATTAATTATAAAGAAAAGAACAGATAAAGCAGAGTTTCCCGAACTTTATGAACAACTTGCAACCCACATCATACTGGACTTTGTTTTTGAGATTTTTTGGGCAAACTCATTTAGGAAATAGTACGGTCAACTAAAGAAAAGAGCCTTTTTTCTTTAAAGGACACCTTGGAAACTTTAAATGCAAATTACTTTGCAAATACATAAGAGGAGGATGGCCTATGTAGCATTTTCCCTATATTTTTGAGAATCATCATTCTGCAGGACATGGTATTAAAAGTTCTGCCATAATGAATGAAAAATGACACTCATTCTTTTTAAGTGATGAAAAATTTTACTAATTGTTGTTTAATTGAAATAATCTGCATGCACTTTAGAGTATTAAGAAAATCCAGAAATAGACAAATAACAAATAAAATCACCTGCAATTTTGCCACCCCTATTATCATGTACTGGCTTCCACTTATATGTCCCTGTGTGTTTATCATGTGCATATGTGTTTATAGAAAATTGGGATCATAGTACATAAAATAGTTTTGTATGCTGTTTTGTTTATTTGCATCAAGTAAGAGACTATATTAGATATGAGAGTTAAAAACAACACCAGCTATGGTTCAAGAAGGAGTATATTTTGTATGTAGTTCTTAATCCTGGCTGAGGATCAAAATCCCTACTGGGTATTTTAGAAGAAAATCACATTTATCATCTACTCATGGGGTTTTGATTCATTAGGTCTGGGTTATGTATTTGTAATTTTCAAAATTACCACCACAGGTTCTGATGTAAAGCAAGGGTGGAGAGTCACTGGTTTAGTGGTTAAAGGGTGGAGAATAACATTGCAACTCAGTTATTTAGTTTTATCGGGATTGGCAATTTAATTTCATGAATACTAAGTTTCCTGATTCTTAAAATGAATTATCCTTGTCATGTATCTAACTCTCTGAATGCTTATAGCATTGAATGAGATAATGCCTAAAAGCAACTTTTGTTTTGTAATGGGAGTAGGGATGGGACAAAATTAAATAATTATGATTACAGTAGAGCCAAGTGGTATAATATTTTATGAAAAGATCTATACTCTGATGGTGCCCTGTTTCTTTGAATTTAGGATATTAAAAAATTAATTATCCTTACATTGATACGGGTTTCCATATCAATAATGATTCTACTAGTTTGCATTCATTTAAGATTATCTTATTTAACAAAAATCACTTCCATTTGATTGTAATATAGAATTAAATTGGAAATATTCAAGAACCTGTAAATACTTTTAGCATAATTTAATTCATAAGTACCAAATAATGTGGAGAAGTGTTTCTTATCTCTGCATTGTATCATGTATTATCAGTTCAATGCAATTCCCTCTGAAACAAAATTTATGGTCGGGAAAACTCAGCCCATGATATTTCTTTTGAGTTGCTCCCAAATGTCAGCACTTTAGGTGCAGAGAAGACATGACCTAGGGTTTAGTGAGCTTCATTACACCCAACATAGCAATGCCCTGGAAATTCAGGGGTCCTGGAGACTTTCTTTAGCTGCCTACTATTCTCAAGGAGCTGGTAAGTGGGACCAACATCAACAGACTAACGCCAGCCTAGAAATGGTGTTTTATGGACAGTGGTATCATTGTGTGGGTTTTTATATTCCTGCTATGGGAGAGTTAGAAATATAAAAGAAAGCGATCTGGAGAGTATATGCAGTTCTGTCTCTCTATGAGCGGTAGTATTTTATTCATTTACCTGTGTTTGCTCTTGAGGCATTTTGACATAAGGCATCACCTGTCAGAAAAAGAATTATATTAAAAAATACCTGACTTTGTTATTTAAAATTCTTGAGCAGCTTTTCATAGATCTAGCTTTACAAGGGGTCTTTGAAAATTTCATGGAAAGATTCATATTATATTTTAATTCTATTTTTCCACAAACTTTTTGAAATACCCTCATAAATTTATCATTTTTATTAGTAAACTTCCACAACAGAAGGTCATCTACTATATGAAGCATCGTTGACATAAATTGTCTTTTTTTGAAAGATGAATTTTTCCTAATTATCTTATTCCAGACTTGTTTTAACTCTTTTGATTTATGGCCATATACTAGGCTAGCTGATTTGAAGGTATTTTTCATGTTAGACATCAGAATATATAAGGAAGTAGTTTCAGTGATGGTAGAAATATATTATGAGAAAATATTTTTGTTCAATAACTCATCTTATTTCAAAGCTGATTCATATTCATTTTCATATTCAGTGTGCAGTTATCTCTTCTCAGGACAAGATGGAAGAGGCTTGACTTACATGATTAGGGCCCTGTTGTGTCTGCAGTGGTGATTGAGGCTGTGAAGGGTCCAGTTGGCCTGCCTGGGCTCCTTGGGCAAAACTGACCTGTCCTGGGAAAGGTATATAATTTGGGAGCAATCGGGCAAACTGGTCTACAGTTGACAAAGAGAACTGGGAGAGTCCAGGAGTTTGAGCCCGCTGCTGCTGTTGTACAATCCGAGAGAAAGGAGGAATCCATGAATTAAATGCGTCCTGGAAGGACACAAAAGAAAGAAAGAAAGAAAGAAAGCAATTCTCCTTCACATCAGAAATAATTTAAAATCAGTCTTGAGCAAGAAAGAGACAAAATGTAAGCAATTCCTATATTTCCAGTGCTGCATTATTAAAAAAACCCCAGAATCTTGACTACTTATGAGCCTTGCAAATAGTATTAAATGATGCTAAATTCCAATGGACATAAGAAATATGAAGCAAAATGAGGTTGATAAAAGAGCACAATTTCCACCGTTGCCAGACTGGTTTCAAATCTTGCTTTTCCCCCACCCCCTAAACTGGCTAGTTGAACATGGCTTTGCATAAAAGTTAATTTAACTATCTCATAATTGTGAGAATTAGTGTCTGGCCTATATCAAGTTCTCAACAAACAAATGATAATCAGATTATACTTTTTACATTAATCTTCAAACAAATGGTCATTAGAATATATAGAACAAATTTACAACTTTAAAAATTAAGATTTCAGAAATGGAATCAGGAAGAATTTTGTTCTTATACAAAATACCATAAGAAATGAGCAGTGGAAAAATGTTCTTCTTAAAGTAATTATTGAAGGTGAAGTACCTGAAGCTGTAGTGGCAAAAGCCGAGCATTATTAAGATTCAGAAGTAACTAGAAAAGATAATATGAAAACAAGATTACAACACATGCTAAAATGATTAAGAACAATGTTTACTACAAACACAGCACAAGTCAGAGCTGGTTGATCAGTTTCCTGTTAGAAATGAGACATTTTCTCACTAAGCTTGCACTGAATTATAGTGATTAGAGGTTAGAATTGAAAACAAGGTTGGGATTTATCAATGTCTCCCCTGCTGTGTATTGCATAACTTTTGCCCAATCCTGTGGTTTAGTCAGTCATTTTATGCTTTTGAACAACTATATACACCTGTATTAGGTGTTAGTAGACAAAAAGACATAGAAAATATTATCTTTGCCTTGGAAAAATTTACAATTAAGTCAGGCAAAATAATATTCTAAAAGTAACCTGGTATACAAAACAAATGTGAACCTTGGAAATGCGTTTGGATATGCATAAAAAAGCTAGTGGACAGGATGCAGGATAAATCAAGTGAAGGTACTTATCTCTTTCCACTCGGTACCCATGAAGAAAAATGGAGGAGATCGTTTTAATTTATTTAAACTAACCTCATTGCTGTTGCTTGCAGACATAAGGCGTTGTGGAATAAGCTAAAAAGAAACAGAATTGTAAGAGAAGGGACTGTTACATGTTTTGCATGATGAGATCAGTAGTACCATGAAATCACTTACTGGGGCTGACAATGTGGCTCCCAGGAATCCAAGAAGAATTATAATTTTCATTTTCAGATGATATACCTAGAAAATAAGTTGTGATACTTAGCTTTAAAAGTACTCTCTACTTAGAAATCATGACAAAAAAATAGTTGGTATTGTTCAATCAGAGTAGTAGTTGAGTAAATTCTATAGTATTTACTTATATTTTAAGATTTAAAATTTAAAAAGTTATATTTATAAATCTCTGTAACAGAACTCATATTTTTTTTTTCTCTCAGAGCAGCTGTTTATAAAAACCAAAATTGCTAGTTCTTTTAGCCTGACCAAAAGACTCTTTGGTGGCATACAATGTAGTTGAATGGGTTGATGTACAAGATGGCCTTATCCCTTATGCTGCTCTGCACTGAAGGAAGTAGGCCCTTCAGACCATGGGAGGCCCATGACTGGGGTCAAGCAACTGGGTTCTTATTATTAAAACAATTTTAATATCTATGTTGAAAAAGTACTATAATAAAGATCTGACAATACTAGTCCAATCTCAGGTAATTCCCATTTAAATGTCTAATAACATTAAAATATATTAAAACTAAGCAACTACATCAATATTTTTCTAATTTAGAGAAACAAATTGTAAAATTAAACTGTAACATTGATTTATAGTGTAACCTGCGGAAACATATAGTCTCTTGTCCTCTAGATGTGAAAGTTTCTGCTATAGTTCAAATCACTGACCTAACCAAGCATTTAGGGTAACCTTGGTAGTTTATCCTGAATAGCCGACCAATTTCAGGTCTTATAATTATGAAAGCTAAGATTTAATATCTTACCTCACTCCTAGGCCTATGAAGAGAAACCCAGAACCATGGAAGATGTGTGCCCTTTTTCTCTCTTAGCTCTGCTGCTTGAAGCATCTTTTAAATTTAAAAACCCATCTTTAGAGAAAAAGGACCAATCATTTTCAAAAGGACTAGTGAGTCAGTGGGTTTCAGACAATAGTTTAGCTAATAACCCCTTTTCTAATTATTTATGTGGTAAACAGATGCCCACACTTTCAGTGATGTTATTAAATTATCCCCTGAGAAATGTTTTCCTACGATTATTCTTGGTTTCTGCTTTGGTTATGACTAACTCTTTTAGAATAATTTCATTCTGCTCTTTTTATTGTCCTTAAAATGGATACCCTAATAGAGTAACTTTAAAAACCCTTATTAAATTCAAGGATAAATGGATGATTATTTTTATCTCAAGAATTCATTGCAGAATTATTACACATAATGAATAAGTCTAAAAGACAAAAATTCAAAACCTAGTTAGAGGCAATTAGGATTCCTCAGCTCTTCAACACTGAGGTGAGTAGATATGAGCTAGTTTCGCTTAGGTTGGACCTTGAAAATGCTAGTGTATCTCCCTCAACCTGTGGAATGAAATCCTAAAAAAATTGTCAAATTTCTGTATGTCTCTATGTAATCATGTTGCTTGCAATAAATAATTTAATAAATATGAAATATGATGGCCTACACTTTTTAAAATAGCTTTGAGTGAATGTTTTACATTTTAGAAATTCTCTTTTGCTAAGTAGAATTTTAATATTCAAAATACAACTAAATATTACTGTCTGTATATCATTATTTAAATTTCCTTTATAGAGTTTTGTGTTCGTCTTGTGTTTTTTTTTTTTGTTGTTGTTGTTAATATTGACCCCATTCTAGATAGTCCAGGATCACAAGTGTTGTAATAATGTATTAACAATTTTTCTTTATAAAAGAGTTTTTTTGGCTGATTTAATCTTGAAAAGCTAACGGCAGCCTTATTATTCAGAAAAAGTGATTGCCTTTCCATGAATTTTTCTTTCTTAGTAGGGTTAGACACTTCTTAGAACTTGCAGGACTTGTTAATGCTACAATAATTGTACCATTTTTTATTTATCTAGCCAAAAAAGCCCCATAAGTACTTAAAACATTAGTTAAAATAACAATTCATTTTTCTTTTCTAAAGAAGAGAAGCTACTAACAGGATTTTATATCTGTTAGAAAGGGACTTTTTTAAGATTTGTGAAAGTTGTGTTTTTAAATTAGCTAAATAGACTACCCTAGATGTTGGTGGCAGATTTAACTAAAGCTGGATGGTCAATTTAATTGTGTAAGGAGGAGGCTAAAGTATAATGCCCTCCAAATTGTGAAGGTAGTTTGAGATTGAAGAAGGAAGTGGGCAGGTCCATTATATAATCAGAAATATTTATTAATGGGGTGACTTATGTACAGGAAGTCTGCATGCAGTGAAGAATCATATGTCCACAGCAGACAGATCTCTTAGCTCTCTGAGGTTAGACAATGTTTTGTATAGCAGAGGCCCCTGTACCTTAAGAAAAATAAGTTGATAACATCACTCACCATGGGTCTTGTGATTCATGAGGCAGAGGGATCTTGTGATATTAGTGCTAAAACCACTGACACCACCTGCTGTAATAAATTATTCACTCCCTGAAACCTATGTTCCTTTTACAGCTTGCCCTAAGGTTGATGTGGCTGGTCAGTGAAACAAAAGAATGAGGTTAAGCAGGAGTCAACATAGTGGGCAGAGCCCCAAATGGCATTGGTTTTGTTCATTCTAACAGTAGCCAAATGTTGCCTGGAAAATCCAGTAGATTGATTGAGTGGGTGAACTAGGCAGATGGCTCTATATTGACTGATGATGTCTATTTACAGTAAATGACCTTGATCTACTCCAAATATTTTCTAATTAAATTTAAGACACTATAAACTCTCAGTCTTTTGAGATTTTATGTTGCATTCTGCAGAGTCTTAGGCAGCTAACCCCAGTACTGAGCCAGAAAGTTATTAGGAAGCACTGATAAGGTCAGGAACTGAATTACAGAGCCAAAACATAGTCAATTTAAAAATTATTCTGATGATAAATAGCTTCCTCTAGCTACATTTCTCCTTTCTCTTGGAAGATATATTTGTTGATGTCATTTTTATTTTCCATTACTTGAGTATTCTAAAGAAAGGTCACTGAAACTTTAATTACACAACAGGTGAAGTGTAAAAGAGCAGGCTGTGCTTTAATATCTGATAGCTTCCAACTCCCTATTGTCATTAGAGGCAAAATTATTTTTGGGTAGGAGGGGAAGCAACAAGGAGTTCTAGTTTAATTCTCGTCACATTGTAGTGTAGAAAATGTACATGTCTGTTTCTCCAATTCAACTATATTGAACTTACTCATTTTTCTATTGTTGTGTCAGTCACCCAGTAGGTATTCCATTGAGTTTTTATAAATAAATGCTTTCCTTTATTCAGGGGAGAAAAAAAGCAATACCTGTCCAGAGCAATGTCAATCTGTATGGATTAAGGTGCAGAAAATGAGGGTATAGTCACTATACCTTCATTAATTTGTTTTAATTCAATTACCAGAATACCAGACAATCCTTCATTCAAATAAAAGTACAAAAACACATTTCAATGCCAAGTATATATGACTGTTGAATTATGTACCATTAAAATTATCCATATCTGTGCTGTTTCAATAACATAAATGATAAAGGGTAAACAACGACTTAAAAGTTCTTTCAAAATGTTTCTCTGCTTTTTGTTCCCTTCAACTATCCTGAAAAATCATTCTAGAGGATTATAGAGTGCTATTGTGAAGTAGACCAATATCCTGAGAATCGTGACAAATGAATTTGAATTTTAGCACTGCTTGTAATAGCTCTAATCTTCTAGGAACTTCTAATGAAATATCAAAGTGGGCAAGATATGTTTCAATGTTTTAATGAGAAAGCTAAGGTACATCCTCATGTTTCAATGAGAAAGCTAAGGCACAGAAGGTTCAGTGACTTCATTCATTAATTCATTTACTCCTCCAACACATAGTTATTGTGCGGCTTCTACAGTCCATGTCTTTGCTAGTCATTGAGAATTTAGTGTTTCTGCCTTCATGGAAATTACTCTTTTTCCACTGTCATAAATGTACCAGAATTGTGGCTAGAATTCAGATCTTTTGATTCTCAACCAAATAGTCTTTCTAAGGCATCAAGTTGCCTACCTAGAGGGGAGAGAGACATAGTACCATGACAAAGATAATTAACAGATAAAAATAATAAATGATAAAAGTGGACATTTTCATATATTGCCAGAGAAGGATAGAATAGTAAATCTCAACTCAATGAGACAAATAGGTTTTGTGACTTTAAGAATTACTTCATTAATAACTCATGCAGTAAACACAGAGAATAAGCAAGCTCTCAACCAAATTTCTTCTATTACATAGTGTTTACTTTTAAATTCTGAGATTTTATTAAAGTACCCCTTCTGTCTGATATTATACATTACTAATGTTAATCATCATGTGTTCACTATAAAAATACATTCTAGCTTAGTGCCTCTAGCTTGATTATTTGAGTCTAATTTTACCTTATTTAAGATTTGGTAGGTATGTGCATGCAAATTATGACCATAAAGTATAATTCCCAGGAGTAGTTTGTTTAGAAATAGAAGTATTAAGAAACCTAAAGTAATATACGTCTTCCTTTTACAAACAGGTCCATGAGTTTTGGAATAGTTGAGAGAGGCCAGCACATAGCTAAGCTTGTGCTAGAAACTGTGTATCAACTTTCTGTGATTCCCTGAAGGGTGGCAGGTGGAGCATTCAATGCAAAGCATGTCCTCTCAAATACAACCCCTCCTGGCCTGGGCACAAGTGAATATCCAACTTCTTTGAAAATGATTTCTTTTGTCTTCAGATATGAAATAGTTTCTTTTTCTACTGAACCTCTACACTATTTATTTTGCCCTTTGCTTTGTGAATTACAGATCTGCCCTTTTAATGACCCCTGCATCTGATTCTTTTTGGGGGGGGCCTGTAATCAGCTTGGCCTCAACCCAGTTTCTGTACTATAACTATCTAAAAAAACAGAACAAAACAATAAACAACTTCATTCTAACCAAAATCTCATAATTTTAGTAATTTGTTTTAAGATGCATGTCATTAGGGAGAGAGTGCACAATGTTGGGCTAGTTTCTGGCTTTATCCTTCTCAGACACCTAGCCAAGCCCACGCTGTGGTCATGA